TGAGATTGTTAACTAACTTTGCTTAATCGTTTTAGCTTGGCAATGGTTAAAGAGGCAAGGTTTAAATTCACCAAATCTATTTAGAAGGAAGCAATCAAGATGATTAAATATCCAGAGCAAGTGGGAAAGCAAGCTGAACAACACAGAGGAGAAGATTGCTTTTTCTGCTAATATTTGCACTGGCTTCAAAAAGCTACAGATCTTAATAGGAGCCAACCTCAAAGATTTGGGGAGGATGAGTTGTAGTATTGTAATTAGATGAATGTTAGTAGGACTGAGTGGAGAAGACATCAATATTTTATCTTCCTAGTTTCCATTTCATCCTCTAGCCATCTACTCATTGTTTGAAATTCTTTGCTATTCTGTTTTTATTAGAGCTGCTATCACCTTTCACCTTAAATGAAATACTGAGGGAATTTGGAGGCCCATTCCTAGACAGAACATCTGAAGAATTTAATCAAAAACAGTTTCAATGGGACTGGCAAAAATTTCTTTTGGGTATAAGCAGCTTTGCACACCTCCAGTGAGCAGTCATCAGCATTGGGACTAAAAGATAGTCAGGGGGGAATAAACTTTGTGGTTTCCCTCCAAAATCCCAAGCTCCAGCACTTTATCTTGCCCACCCTGTCGGAGCCAGCCGTGACAAAGTGGCGAAGTTTAGCATAAAATTATGACACAGAGAGCCAGCAATATTTTCATGATGGTAGGAGCAGCTCCCTTCGAACTCCCCTCTCCTCCTGCAAACTTCTTTATTATCCTTTGTCTCTCTCCAGCCGCATGGCTGTTTGCCAGTGTCTCACGTTACCTCATCCGGTCAAGGCTTTTATTGCCCCCACAAACCATATAAGGTCATCACTGCCCAGAGGAAATACAACTCCAATACATTCCAATACATTGTAAAGCTCAGAGTGCTGGTCAGCCGAGGTCAGGGGGCACCCTGCAATATTACAAGCCTTTACCGTGGCTTTATGACTCCCACATGCCCTCTTTCTTTATTTTATATCAGAGTCAATACGGTTATATCGAGCGCGATAAGCGACTCTTGTGACACCGGAAGCGGGCTGCGGACTGGAGAACCATGCAGTACATATAGAAATTATAGAAAGAATACATTGGATACAGCAACACAAAATAATGCAAATAACTACTATAATGATCACTAAAATCAATAACTACTATAATGATCACTAAAATCTGGAAGTCAAGAATATAAGAATTCTGATTCCAAGCTGCATGGTAGGCTTCCTTTTAGTTTATTAGCCATGCACTGGTGTCACTTCTATAGCACTGAGATTTGTCACTGTATATTCCTGTAAGAGAACAAGAGCTATTAAAAGTGAAATTCAATGTATATTGACAGTTTGGATATATGCCCCATGATTCTTTCCCTCTTTAATTTGAAAAAAAATGGGGGGAGGCTCATGGAGGGTCAATTGTACTGGAGGCCAAAAGTTTGCTTAGGGGATATAATATTAGTAAATTGAAAAGATCCATTGACAGGCACACCATGAAGCATTATGCCGGAATGACTGGCATACACACCCAACATTTAGAAGCATGCAATAAACTGGCAAACATAATCATATCTTGTACAAAAATATCATCCCTCCATATCTTATGATAATTTTCTCCAATAAAATTCTTATTCAACAACGCTGTTCTTCTAGTTCGAAAGTGGCTGAGCCGTGGATACTGCCAGCCAGAGTAGGAAGCTGACGACAGCTGCTTGCCAGCCGATGAGGTGAAATATGGTGGTTTCAACTGGACTGGTCGTCTGCTTCTCTTCCTTGTATAACGGTGCAGCAAAGGATGGCAAGGCAAATGGTTAGGAAGGCAAACACTGCCAGATGCAGCTCGTGTGCAGCACCTCTAGGTGGCGCATGCGGAAAGGTTTCAATGCTTCACCCACAAAATGTTGACAAAGTGTAGGGGAGTTCCGCATGCCTTGAGGCAGGACAACCCACTGATATCGCTGGGTGGGCTGCGAATTGTTATATGCTGGCAATGTAAAAGCAAACCGTTCCCTGTCTGCTGGAGCCAGTGGGATGAAGATGGTTCAATGTGGCCGAAAGTCAATTGTTCAGAAATAAGCTGGTCAGAGATAGCTGGTGCCGCTGCTGCGGATTTTTCTTTTGGTAGAGGCCACTGTTCTACCCACACGGGGGTATCGGTGATCCTGGTTTGCCACCCTGGAAATAAGTTGTATCGGTGGCTACAGGCTGGTTTTCATTTAGCGCTGCTGCCAGCAGATAAGCCTTGTGGCTGGCTGTTCCGACAGACTGACAAATGCGAAGCATGGCTGCTGTGTCTGTGGCAGGATTGTGTATTATCGGTCGCAATGCAAGTTTACAATCCTCATTGGCATTTTCAAAGGCCAATTGTTTGATAATTATTTGTTTGGCTTCAGGATTTTCAATTTGGCGACTCACTGCTGTAAGCAGCCTGTCCATAAAGGAAGAATATGATTCTCTTGCCTCTTGCCTGATTGAACCCCACCTTGATTGAATACTGGTGGGTTCTGGGATTTTTCTCATTGCTTGTTTAGCAGCAAGAGCAGTGTCCCTCAATAAGATTTGCAGCAGTGTGGCTTGCACTGAAGCTTGAGCGAAGGGACCACGCCCCAACATGGCATCTAAGACGTCTGCGAGGGTAACATTTGGATTATTTCCTCTGACTTGTTGTAACAAGGCTGGAGCATAAGCACGGCAGGCAGTTTCCCATTCGTGGGCAAACAAAACACCAGCTGATGGGGGTAACACTGTATGGGCCAAAGGCTTGATGTCCTCTGGAACCAAGAGCTGGGCTAATGTGGCTTCTAAAGGCGCCTGCGTATATGGGGCTTGGAGTCCATTGGCCTTTACTGACTGTTGCAGCTCTCTCAAGATCTTAAAGTCAAAAGGTTGGTGTTGGGCTTGGGTGCCTGCCGGAGCGCCAGCAGGGGGCACAATAACAGGGAATGCCATAGTATCCTGAATTAAGGAACAGGCAAGGACTGCACGTTGAAAAGGTTCTGGTTTTGGTTCTGCCGCTGAAAGATTAGGATCATTGCCAGCCAGACCACGGTATTTTTGCAGGATTGGGTCCTCAGGTGAGGAACTGTAGTCTGGGGGTTTGGGGTCTGGAGCTGCTGGCAAGGCAAGTATTGGAACAGATTCTAACACAGCAGGCTGAATTAAAGAAGCTGAAGGTTGTGTTGGCAATGCAGCCATAGAGATATTTTTTGGTGATAAAGAGTCCATGGCGTAACAAACCTTGCACCATGCATTTAAAATCCGAACACTTATGCTGGGGTGCCCATGAAAATGTTCCCCGATCTTGTCCCAAAGTTTTAATTCCCAAGTCCCATCTGCAGGAAACCAGGGGGGATGCTCTTCGATGGCCAGAATGAGCTGTATTAAATCACCATCCGGAACTTCCAATTCGTTGGAGGAGAGGAGAAATTTTAAGTCTTTTAAAAATTTCTGTTGGGGAGCAGACAAAGAGCTGCCCATTTTTCTAAAATCAATATAAATAAGAAGGGATCGACTCACCGGGATCTTTTTAAGATGATTAGCGCTTGAAGCCCTTTCCGGGCGTAGTGAGCCGATGATATCCTTTGCTAGGATCGATAAACCTCACACGGTTTCCTTTTAAAAGCCTCAGTCTGCCTCAGACTGTTTTCTTTAAGTTGCCTCACACGGTTTTCTTTTAAAATCCTCTTAGTCCTCAGACGTATTCTTTTATTCAGCCTCACACGGGGCACCACTTGTCGGAGCCAGCCGTGACAAAGTGGCGAAGTTTAGCATAAAATTATGACACAGAGAGCCAGCAATATTTTCATGATGGTAGGAGCAGCTCCCTTCGAACTCCCCTCTCCTCCTGCAAACTTCTTTATTATCCCTTGTCTCTCTCCAGCCGCATGGCTGTTTGCCAGTGTCTCACGTTACCTCATCCGGTCAAGGCTTTTATTGCCCCCACAAACCATATAAGGTCATCACTGCCCAGAGGAAATACAACTCCAATACATTCCAATACATTGTAAAGCTCAGAGTGCTGGTCAGCCGAGGTCAGGGGGCACCCTGCAATATTACAAGCCTTTACCGTGGCTTTATGACTCCCACACCACCCCATGCCTCTCTTCCTGCATGAAGCAACCATGAAACTAACTTGTACTATGTAGTCTTAGAATCTGAAGTCATCCTTAGAAATATGAAGAAACTGTAAGAACAAATGGGCCCTCTGTGCATTTTATTTATTCTTTTAATCAATGCTAGGTAAAAGTAAAGGGACCCCTGACCGTTAGGTCCAGTCGCGGATGACTCTGGGGTTGCGGCGCTCATCTCGCTTTACTGGTCGAGGGAGCCGGCATACAGCTTCCGGGTCATGTGGCCAGCATGACTAAGCCGCTTCTGGCAAACCAGAGCAGCGCACAGAAAGGCTGTTTACCTTCCCGCACTTTGAAGTGCTTTCGAACTGCTAGGCTGGAAGGAGCAGGGACCGAGCAACGGGAGCTTGCCCCGTTGTGGGGATTCGAACCACTGACCTTCTGATTGGCAAGTCCTAGGCTCTGTGGTTTAGACCACAACGCCACCTGCCCTTAAGCAATGCTAGTAGTGTGCAAATGAGACAGAATGAGTGGTAGTGAGACTGGATAGCTCCAAATTCCAAGCACTTTTAACTCTGCTATAAACCAATTTTTATTTTTAAAACCAAATAGTTCTCACATACATTAATATAGAGCTACTAAGGAAACCCTTCACATCAAGGGGTTAGGAAAATAGGAAGGACGCTGTTGGATCAGACCATCTAGTCCAGCATCCTGTTCTCATAGTGGCCAACCAGATGCAAGCAGGACCTGAGCACAACAACCCTCTCCTCACTTGTGACCCCCAACAATTGGCATTCAGAAGCAGCAGAGCCGACTTGGGCCCCAGATTATGGGCGCCCAGTGGCATGTGCGACATAATGTGATGTCATAATGGGACGTTACATGGCACATGCCTCAGCGGCTCCTGGAAGACCCAGAAGTCACATCGGAGGCACTGTGGTATGGGTGCTGAGCACCCGCAACAATTTTTTGTGGGTGCCCAGGCCCCCAGGGCCCCCTGGAGTTGGCTCCAGTGTTCAGAAGGGAGAGGAGGGATGGCCTCAACACGCAGGTGCCATTTTCAGCAGCAATCCCTTGTAGATCACCACATGGTACTCTAGAGATTTTCCAGAGCAGTTTGTGGAGTGGTAGTGGAGGGTCTACTGTTCAAAGGGAAGCAAGTCAAACATCCCACTTGGACAACCTACCCCCCCCCGAAAGACCTTTGCCTTGGAAGGTGTGTTAGCTACATGGACAGAATGTGCCCCTGAGCAGGTTGGGTCTCAGTTTCAGCTCTTTGTCTGAATGTGGGCATAACTTCTCCTTTGCTAAAAATGATAAGGAGCAAATGAATATATACCAGTATGCTGTGTTACTGCTTAGCTTAACACAATACTCTGACACAGCAGTTAAGTCTTTTCTTTGAAATGAAATTTAGTGCCTTGTGAACGTAACAGCAGAAGTCACTTCAATTTTGTTTTTAAACCCTTTTAATAAAATGAAACTTTTAAGTCCATATGCTGACTTCCAAGTCCCAGCGCTGCATTTCAAGCAGGGCTAATGAAATGGTATAATAAATCAGGCAACCTTTTACAGTTGGAATGAAGATACATACACACCCACACATCTATGAATTCTTTTTTTAAAAAAAATAAGTGTCTTTTTATTGAAGTTTTCAATATTTACAACCAAATAGCCCACCTCCACTACAAAACCCAGGATGCAACAGGGTGCAAACAATAATATATATGTCTTAAATTCCTTTCCAGATTATACAAAAACAAGAAAAAGGAGACATTACAATATCAAAACTGAACCAACAAAAAACCCTGCAAGTGGTGGGGTTTCCCGCTTCATTTACTGTAGATATCATGTAAGCAATACTGTAAAGCTATTCATGGCAAATGTGTCCTTACATCTCTCACACACACCCTTTCACAGTTTTCATTAAGCTTTTAATTTAGGGCAATTAGCCAGATTTTCCAGCCCTACACCATCAATGACAAACCCCCTCCGAAATCTAGCAATTAGCAACCTCACTGGCACCAATAAAAGTCCAATTAAAGATTTAAAGTATAAGTCTCTTTTTTCTCTCTACAAAATAAATTTAGTAACACCAGTTGCTCTGACTTGGCCAATTTTTGACCCATGGTTTTAGCAATCTCTGAAAAAACTGTCCTACAATTGTGTTACCTTAATACAACCCCACCACTAATCATTTTTTGTTACACCCCCTGCAGAACCAAGGCACACACGCTGCTGTGAATTCTAAATTAATTTTATGAAAATGTTCAGTGTGGTTTTGTGAGCAAGACGTGAGCAAAGCCATTCTTTATCCAAAGGGATCTTTGAATCAGTGGCTAACTAGATACTTATGGGAAGCCCATAAGCAACACAGGAGTGCCACAGCCCTCTTCCCACTTGAGACCTCCAGCGACTGGCATTCAGAGGTCTACTGCCTTTGATGCTGGAGATGGTACACAGCCATTAGGACTAGAGGCTGCTGGATATATTTTTCCTCCATGAATTAGTCAAATCCTGCTTCAAAGCCATCCGAGTTGGGGGGCCATCATTCCTTTCAGTTCAGACCTCATGAGCGTATATGTGAAATTGGGGTATATTTTTGCCCCAACGAGCATAACTTGTTTGCATTTAATTCCATTTGCCATTTTATTGCCCACACACCCAGTTGGGAGAGATTCTTTTGGTCACCTTACACTCGCATTTGGCTGACTTCTATTAACTCAGCCTGGTTCTGATGTTTCCAGAAGCCTCTCTTGCCTTCATTCCAGTCCTCCATCTCTTCTGCCCCATAAAAGTTAATTTGGCGTAAGGGAAGCAGAAGCAGGAACTGGTGGCTTTCTGTGTGCCTACAGAAATTACTAAAATTCCCCATTTCATGGTATGCATTCCCATGTAGTGCCAGGTGAAACCAACCATCACAGATCATTGTGTTTTTCTGCATTGTTTGGGTCCAGGGCAGCAGTCCCCAGCCCCACCGAGTCAATTTAGATCTGGTTTGCATTCAGGTCCTTGATGTCCAACTTTGATGCCCCTAGAGTAAACCCCCAAAGGGCAAGTTCTTCAGCCATGAAGCCCACCAGGTGGCCTTGGGCCAGTCATTGTCTCTCAGCATAGCCAACCTCACAAGGTTGTTGTGAGGGCAAATGGGTCAGGGCACTAGCTGGTGCCCTGGGTTCCTTGGAGGAAGGGTGGGATAAAGGTATATAAATTTTGTGTATATATGCAAAATAAAGAGAACTGCAGCCCACATCTTTTTCTGCTCTTTTGGTGAGCAGAGGAAATACCTCTCCTGGTAATGAAATAACTATCCTGGTAATTTAGTTCAAGGTATAGGAAAATGATTCACAAAGGACCGGTTGTTACTTGACCTGGATGGTGTGAAAGCCAGTGGAGCCCATGTCCCTTCTGGTGTAACCATTACAGAATGGTTTAACAAGCAATCCCTCTTCCCAGGGAATTCTGGGAATTGCAGCTCTGTGAAGGGAACAGGGGTTTCCATATAACTCTCAGCACCCTAAACAAACTACAGTTCCCAGAATTCACTGGGAAAAGCCAAGGCTGTTTAAAGTGGTATGATAGTGCTTTAAATCCACGCGACGGTCACCTCCAGACTGGATTATTGTAACTCGCTCTACGTGGGGCTGCCCTTGAGACTGACCCAGAAACTCCAGTGGGTGCAGAATGCTGCAGCGAGACTCCTTACGGGGTCTTCGCTGCGAGATCACATTCACCCGGTGCTATACCAGCTGCACTGGCTCCCGGTGGAGTACAGGATCAGGTTTAAGGTGCTGGTTTTAACCTTTAAAGCCCTATACGGCCTAGGACCCTCGTACCTACGGGACCGCCTCTCCTGGTATGTCCCACAGAGAAACTTACAGTCTTCAAATAAAAACATCTTGAAGGTCCCAGGCCACAGAGAAGTTAGGCTGGCCTCAACTAGAGCCAGGGCTTTTTCGGCTGTGGCTCCGATCTGGTGGAACACTCTGTCACAAGAGACCAGGGCCCTGCGGGACTTGACATCTTTCCGCAGGGCCTGCAAGACAGAGCTGTTCCACCAGGCCTTTGGCCAGGGCACAGCCTGACTCCCTCCCTCGGCAATCTTCGCGGAGCTCTGGCCCAATGGTTGCCGGTGGCTTGAATTAATTAATTTTATAATGAATGACTTTAGAGTGTTGTTTATGCTGTACTTTTGTACTGTTTTATTGTTGTTAGCCGCCCTGAGCCCAGCTTCAGCTGGGGAGGGCGGGATATAAATAAAATTTATTATATTATTATTATTATTATTAAATGTATGGTGTGATTGTGGCCTATGAAGTGCTTTCTGCAATGTGTGATCATTGTGGAAGGAGGGGGTGGCCTCCAGCAGGGAGCCTTCCTTGGTGTGCCCCACTCCTAGGGCAGAGGGGTCTCCAGCCCCCTCATAAAATATTTGAGGGGGGGCCACCACCACCCCCAAGTTGATGGGTATTGCCATTCAAATAGTATGTGTGCATCACATCATGAGATTGATTATGCAGGGCGGAGCTTATCTGTCCCCTCCCCCCCAAATTTTATTCATGTTGGCACCCCTGTCTCTGGTCGTTGCACAGTAATGCCACTGTTTTTCCTCTGCAAGATAACAGAGCTTTTTGGCACTGTGGCATCTCTTCTAAGCATCTGAATGACTGGTATTAATGCTTTCCTGGGCACGGCGTGAGGGGAGCCCTCCTGAAGTGACTCATTCTGCCTGCAAAGCACTCAGAAAATAATCCAAGAGGGAGGTGGAAATCTTTCAAATTCAGCCTGAAGAACCGCCTGGCGGATGGGCCTCTTCCTTCTTCCTAATCACTTCATTTAACTCAGCTGTTGTCAGTACACAGGCAGGGCCCCACACTGGGCCAGATTGATCTGTGGATAAGAGAAGCCAGGACCTCCGGCTCCTTGAAAGGATTTATGTCTAGTTGCTCCATTGTGTATAAAAGCTAAATGATCGAAGGCATTAGGCAGAACATGTTTCTACAGCAGGCTGGGGTTTTCTTCACAGAGGCCTCCTGTCTTGGTGTGGGAGCTGGCCAGCTTCTGCTCAGGCCTTGGACAGGCTCCTTTGATACACAGAAGAACCATTTTCACTGTGCGTCTCCAGTTCAGGTCCACCTCATTGTACAGACCTCTAAAAGAATTGTTATTTACATCATGTTTTGGAAAGGAATAAAAAAAAAAGTTATTCAATCTATTTCAATCCAACCTCCAGGCCAGATACTACAGTGGGCTCATAGCACATTTGTTACATTGCTGCCTTGACATGATGGACAAAAGGTTATTGCCCTTGCCATCCTAATATTGCCCATCCGGGGTTGAGATTGGCCATGCAGTAACAAGAATGGGATGGTGGGGGCATCTGCCCAGCAGCTACCTGGGCAGGGGTTAAAAATTAGCATCATATTATGCATTGTTGCAAGTTGGGGGAGATAGTTTTGATGTCATCTGAAGGGTTTGCATTAAAATCCAACCTGAAACAAATTTCTCCACCAGCCATACATGGGGTTTTTTACTTGGGTTTTTGTTTTTTGCTTTAAATTCCTTTGCTTGTTTCATATTTCAGTGATTTTTATTTTCCCCTGGAGAGGGAAAGGGAGGAGTAGACTCAGTAGCCTGACCCAGGTGTTGAAATTACTAGCAAATTGTCTGTTGTATTTGCATGTACTACTAACACCCACTGCCTCTTCTAATATAGCAATCAAGTGCCAAAAATGTAATGGAAGGGAAATTAGTTATTTGGAAACAAAATCCATACAAAGAGGTCTGGCAGCAGTATATATATACACCTGAGCTGCTGTCTTAGCTGATGGCTTACCAGTTACATTGTTACTCTTAATTTTAGAAATTAAATTAGAATGTCAGGAAGACTTTGTCAAGGCCTCTTGATAGCACAACCACTCATGTCAAAGCAATATTTGTTATGGAAGAAAATATGCTGCAGGGAAGAGAATATACTGAGGACATTTGGGCTTCGTGACTGCTCTGTTGTAAGTGGGGTGAGGGGGGGAACCACTTACAGATGCTGGTGGTGTGTGCTTGGTTTAGGAGGCAGCCCAGAGGTAAAATGCCACTTTTGAGATAAAGGGACACAGAAATTATGGGAATGACAGATAGCTGTTAGATGATGAATTAACAAAGTATGGCCAGTAATATATATCCTTAAAGTTGTCCTCTGTGATTTTACTTTTGATGTTTAATATCTTCTAAACATTCCATTCTAGTAGTAGAGTATCCATCTTTATGTCCATGTAGCAAGGACCTCTGGGATCTTTGCAGGAAGGGGCTGAGCCAATCAGAGACTCATCTTGAGAAATGTTGTGCTAAATGGATAGGGATTCAGAATGCTGACAGCTGAATCAATGCATTTTAAGTTGTTTTGGGTGCAAACCTCTAATGAAGTTATATCAGCTGAGGGGCCTTAGGGTTTGTGCTGCTCTGATCTGCACAGGAATCCACAGAGCAAGGCAGCAAGTTCATGTTGCTCATTGCAGCACCATGGAGAGCACCTAGCAAGCAACTTATTCTGCAAAAGTTAGAAGGCGGTTTTATAATTCCTTTCCTAATGATCCGTGGCATGGAATCTGCCTTTTTCATAGCTGCTACTCAGTAGGTCAGCATCTTCATTGAGCTGTCCTTTACAACCCCAGGGTCTCATCCTAATGCTGCGACAAAGGATTTTGGAGGCCTGATTAAGCTGTGTGCCTCCCATCTGTATATACATTGTTATAAAATGCCAATAAACCTCCAAATACCCCATTCCACAGGAAACCAAACGTGGGTAAGAGTTGTTGGATTGTTTCACCACTCAGAGAACTAGGGAAAGCATAACACTATCATATATGCAAGATCTCAGAAAGAGCAACCAAAATGGTCAAGGAAATGGAGTGATTGGATTGTTTCACCACTCAGAGAATTAGGAAAAGCATAACACTATCATATATGCAAGATCTCAGAAAGAGCAACCAAAATGGTCAAGGAAATGGAGTGATTGGATTGTTTCAC